CTCTCCTTCACGGGCTCTTTTTTGACCCGCTCCTTCACGCTTGTCAGGTCGGGTTCCGAGATGGATGGGCCGAGAGAGGCCCCGTTGACAGCCGGCGGGTCGGTACGGGACACGCTGATGGCCTTGGCCGGCCCGTGCCTCAGCACCCTGGCTCTAGCCATGCCGGGAGGAAGGCCGGGTTGGTCCTGCCTCAGAGCCCCATTGCTCACACTCTTCCTTGGGCCGGGGTACTCAGGCGGGGGCTTGTTGGGGATGCGGGCCAGGGCCGCCTGCAGCTGGGCGCTGTACTCCATCTTCTCCCGGAGCACGGGGATCTGGGGCACCGATTCTGGAGCCTCCTCCTCCTCCTCCTCACTCTCGCTGCTGTGGATCAGCATGGTGGCATCAGAGAAGGTCTTCTTGTGGTGATACTGAGGGAGCTGGGGGACCTCGTGGCTGCCTGGCCCCTCCTCGGGTGGTCCCTGCTCCCGGAGCGTGTTGCGGCGAGCCATGGGGAGGTGGAGTGACTTGAGCGTCATGGCCTCCATGCCCCGCACCATGCTGTTCATCACCTCCAGGCTGTGGCGCTTGTTCACCGTGCCATGGTGCTTGGTGGCCGTAAGAGGCTCACTCACCTCCTGGAGAGACTGATGCACCACCGGAGAGCTGTCCTCTTGGAAGGTCTTTACCGAGAGCTGCACCTTCCGGGTCACCAGGTCTGGGCTGCTGCCACTGACGTACTTGTGGCGGTGGCTGGCCAGGTCTGGGGTGCTGGTGGCAGGTCGTGGCCGTGGGTAGGGGGGCGGTGGCCTGAAGAGATAGTTCTTGAGCATGTGGGCCGTGCTGTAGTTATGGTTGCCCTGCAGCTGCATGTTGGCCAGCTCTGGGGTGCTCACCGTGTGCGAGATGGCGCTTGCCCCCGGCTTGCTTGGTACCACATTATTCTTTGGGTTCCTCTGGTCAGATGGACTGACAAGTTTGTTGCTATAGACCCCCTGTGGCCCATAAGGGACAGTGTAGGGGTGCCTCTCCCGCATCTCTGGTTGGCTGTACACCAGATCCTCTGGCTGGTTATAGGCATGGGTGTTGATGATGTTGAGGTTTCTCAGAGACTGGCTCTGGCTGTCTGTATGCAGTATCCCCCTCTTCATCTGGCGCATGACTGTCTCGTAATCGGGGGTTGGCCTGTACGAGGGCACGATGATCGCACTATGCCGGTGGCTCGGGATGTAGTCGGCCCGCATGATGTCACTCCCAGGGATACTGAGGTTGGAGGATACAGGGGAGGCCTGGATGAAACTTTGCGAGCAGTTGAGGGAGTTGACGCTATGAACGCTACACACGCTGCCATTGGTGACGGTGCCATTTAAATAATTTAAGTCCAGGCTGTTGTGAGAGTTGCAATACAAGGCTTCTTCAGTCCCATGAAAAATGCTGTCTACGAGAAGTCAAACAAAGGCACGTGAACCTCCAAGCCATCCTGCCACAACAAAGTACATCCTCATACTCATGAGCTGACTTTTAATTTAAACAAGTCATAAAAAATGAAATCCCATGGTCTCCACCCACATGTTCTACAGAATAACGGATACCATCTTGGATGAAATGCCAACATACAGAAAGAACACCTTAAGACATATTGAAAAGAAAACGGGAACCTAATGGAAGAAGGCATGCACACATTTGGAGTAAGTGTCGCTTGGGGAAGTTCTCAATTTTACCATAAGCTTTAAAATCACAGGCACCAACAACCGCCCTCCAGTTGGGGAGACCTGTCCTCTTGTGCAGGGCTCAGCAATAGGACTGAATATTTAGACCAGACAGTCAAGAACTTTAATAGGGCAATCGATTTCAATTACTAAGTATTTAGAGCTGCTCTTCCTGACGGCAGTGGAAAAAGCCCCTTCACCCAGGGGACTGCTGGGCGTTCTAAAGGCACAAAACAAATGATGTAGCCAGGATGTCAGCACAGCTAGTTCATCCTGAGCAGCAATAAAGGCCAAAATTAGAATCAAGAGTTCTTTTCGGTAATTTCCCAAATCCCCTCTAGATCTGGTTTCATCACTTAGGTCAATTTAAGTAAAAATTAATTATAGTTTAAAGAGGTCCCTAAAGAGAGAAAAAGCAGATTTCTAAAATCAGGCCCATTCTAAGTGTCCGATGTTCTCTTACACACACACACACCCCTCCAAGGAAGGCAACCTCTTGCCTTTCTGTGGCCAAGATATATTCATTTTTTCACACTACAGATTTAAACATGAGCAAAACAGATAAGCATAAAATCAGAGAAGGTAAAAAACAGAAAAGGTGACTGAAGACATTCAACTGTCTGAAGAGGAGGAGTGTGTAAAGAGATCTGATCAGATAAGACAGGCAGAAAAAACAGGGGGACACAGAGACAAATGTGCCGCAATTTATCCGCCTCCCGTGGGGTTTGGTGCCTTCCCATAGAAATGTGGTAACTTTGCTAGTCTCCTTATAAAAAGTACTACTTTTATTAAATTAAATAGTCTTGACTGTCTTGGTTTTCATGCTCACACTTTCAGAGAGCAGAGGATTCAAAATGGCCAGGAGTTGATAACATAGAAACTAATTATCCATTTACTACATTTCCAACATCCAAGGTTTTCTACCATCTCTCTTTTTGAAATGCAGTTAGCATAATGATTACGAGTTACCGATTTTCATATCTAAGTTCCATCATTAATCTCTCTGTATTCCAATTTCTATAACTGTAAAATAGAAATAATAATAGTACCTACAGGTTTATTTTAAGGATTACATGAGACAATATATAGCAAGTACTTACAGCAATACCACAATTGCTCTATGAATGTTAGCTGTTATCATGAAGTCATTACTAAAAGAAGCTTTTTCACACATTTTGCATGGGAGATGTTTTGGGAGAAAGAGAGGAATAGAACAGATTTACCTTACTCTGAGAAGAAAAAAGCAAGTGTACCGAGAAAGGGGCTGGAGAAAGAGATGAGAAAAACAGCTAAAAGAAAAGGCTGACTTTGTTTATTTCTTCCAATTATTCTGCATGCCCATGTTCTATGTCACCATGAAAACCTGAGTGACTGCCACAAGTTTTCGGATAACTGGCAATGAAGGTGAAGTGCATTCACTTGGGCTGAGCTGTCAAACTCTCTTCTCTAAGCTCCCTTAGGAAAGGGAGGAGAAAAGGACTTGCTTGCTGCCTTGGCCCGGACTCCCTGAGCAGCCAATACTGGGGAACTTTTTTGATCAGAGGTAACTGATAGTCTAGGCCATCCACAAATTGAAGCTGTCAGCTACTGTCATTCAGATGAGGACAAAGTTAAAAAGAAAGCACCCCTGTCATTTTTTTTTAAAGGCTTCTTTACCGCTTACTGGTATTCAACTTTTTGTCTTAAGAAGAGAGAACGGCAAGCCAGAGTTACCTTGCGAGGTGTGCGTTTCCGAGTAGTGCTCACCACACTGGACGTGAACGGGAGGCAGGATGTACGGCTGCTGCCTGGGCTGAAACAGAGAACATAGAGGAGGTGGCGAGGCCTGGCAGACACGGCCGATGACTCACACAGCCGGCCCGGGCACATGGCAGTCCCGCCACGTCGTCAGGGAGGCTCGTGGCAGCCACTGTCCCTGCCACCCCTTTGACTCGACCTTCTTCTACCCATCTGCACTCCCATCTCATCACTAAGTTTGGAACTGGAGAAATGGTAAGGGAGAAATGAAGTTGGTTCAAGATCAGAAAGAGAAAGAGGTTACCATCAAAGACTAAATGTAACCATTTACTATACATGTTTTAATATACTTGCAAAGTTCCCTATGCCTTCTTTCACAAGAATAACTTAGAAAAGGTAAATTATTCAAGGCAGGCAGACTGACTGAGCTCAGGAGTTCAAGACCAGCCTGGGCAACACAGTGAAATGCCATTTCTATTAAAAATACAAAAATTAGCCAGGCATGGTGGCACATGCCTGTAGTCCGAGCTACTCGCGAGGCTGAGGCAGGAGAATCACTTGAACCCGGGAGGTGGAGGTTGCAGTGAGCTGCGATCACGCCATTGCACTTCAGCTTGGGCAACAGATTAAGACTTCGTCTCCAAGAAAAAAAAAATAAAAAAATTATCTGGGCATGGCGGCGTGCACCTGTAGTCCCAGCTACTTGGGAGGCTGAGGTGTGAGAGTCGTTGAGCCTGGGAGGCGGAGGTTGCAGTAAGCCAAGATCATGCCACTGCACTCCAGCCTGGCGACAGAGCGAGCCTCCATCTAAAAAAAAAAAAAAGGAAAAGAAAGAAAGGAAAGAAAAAGAAAGGAAGGAAAGGAAAGAAAAAGGAAGGAAGAAAGAAAGAGAAAGTAAATTATTATAACCCATCTCAGAAATGAGAATAAGAGGGACACCTGTTTTGTTCTCAAAATTCCATTCACAAGCTCCTACACATCAGCAGAGCTGTGCCTGAGATCCCAGTTCACAGCTCCACATCAACCTTCAATAGGAACAGGGTTAGTGTTAAGCTGAGCCCAGGGTGAATCTATTTAAATATCTCAAATGCGGCCCACAACAATGAGTGTATAGCTCTCCAGACCACTTGCTGACCTTCCCCACTGCAGAACCAAGGGTGGAAAGGGCCCTCTCTACCCGCCACCGCAGTGCAGAATCTTTTCCACAGTCTCTTAAAGATGGCTATTTAGACTGAACCTAAATAACTTCATGCTGCGGAAGAGAGACAAGTTTTCAGAGAAGCAAAACAAAACAAAAAAAAAAGCACAATATTTGGTGAGCCAACAAAGGAACGACGGTTATGCACTAATGTAATCTAGAGCAAGCCATTTAACTTCAGTCAGTCTCAGTTTCCTGTCAGTCAAATCAAGCTCTTCCCTCCCCTACCTCAAGTATTATCCATTTTATTTATGTATTGAGGTTCCAGGTAAGAATTTGTTTGAAGTAAGAGTTTTGATTTGCAGGGGAAAAAAATCTTCAAAACCCTTAAGCTTGTAAGCCACCAAACAAAATAATATCTTATATTTCTTTTTTCTGAGACATTGTCTCACTCTATTGCCCAGGCTGGAGTGCAGTGGCACAATCTTGGCTTACTGCAACCTCCGCCTCCTGGGTTCAAGAGATTCTCATGCCTCAGCCTCCCTAGTAGCTGGGATCACAGGCGCTGCACCATCATGCCCGGCTAGTTTTTGTATTTTTAGTAGAGACGAGGTTTCACCATGTTGGCCAGGCTGGTCTTGAACTCTTGACCTCAGGTGATCCACCTGCCTTGGCCTCCCAAAGTGCTGGGATTACAGGTGTGAGCCACTGTGCCCAGCCAATCTCTTATATTTCTATTAGCCTTATAGATTTTAAAGGTTACTATTTTGAGAGAAGAATCTGAGATCAAACCAAGAAACCCAAATCCAGCAGGGGTCACACTTTCTCAGCATCCCTCAATGGAAGAAACACAC